ACTCTTTAAAGGACGTGTCATGTGCTTCATTTCGCGCCAGTTTGGCAGGGAAGGAATCCGCACTTCTAAAGCCAAAAAAGCATTAATTATTATTATTCAATAAATTAATAATGTTTAGTAATTGAGTATTTTGATGAAAGAATGTTTATTTTAAGTTTCTTTGTTAATTTTTTCAAAACTTTTAATTTGTTTAGCTACTTTTTTGCTATGAATATCATATGTTTTTGTTAATTTTGTATGCATTCATAAAACACATTTTAATACAGCAGGTCTATTTTTGTTTGTTATTTTCAATACAGTTTCAATAATGCACGCAGTACAGAAAATCATTGCCCAAAACAATAATTTTATTATTCCAATTTACACTTAATATAATGCACAAAATGCAAAAACTTATGGCGCAACATAGTAAATTTAATGCACAAATGTTATTGCGCATAGTATAAAATTTAATGCACAAAGTATTAAAAATAATGCACAGTTAATTACGACCCTTACAATACTTCCTTTGCTTACGCTCGGGAAGTAAAAATCTAAATCGAATCTTACAATTATCTGACAAAACTGAATATGTTATACCATACCGGACTTCAAGGGCGAGGAAAGTACTCTCTAAATAACTTTAGACCAATTTTTATAATTCAACAATTTACATAATAGAGTATCAAAAATAAAACACCGATAGCTTTCGAATAATTTTGAATGTGTTGTGCTAATTTTTTTTTTATTCCACCAATATTTTCTATTTTGACAAAATGACGAAAGAATCGAAACCTGGAGAGCAAACCGAGTAAAATTTGAAGCCTCTTTTGTCAGGGTAGGTATTTTACCCTGCATAATCTCCGCCTTCCCAATTTCACGGTCAACTTCTGCCGGAAGGTCCGACCCACTGTGCGACAGAGATCGCAGTAGGTACAGCTGAAAACTTGAGGCAAATTTTTCATCTGCAGCGCTTACTTAACTGACGTTGTATATGAATTGTGTAACACTTATTAAAAAACCTATTGATGCAATCTGTTAAGAAAGGTTCCTTGTAGATACCTCTTTTTTTAATTTTTTTCGCACTACAAAGTGTACGTTGTAACAGCAATGTAAATGTCGTCATTTTTGCATGTTTTTACTTTTTTTTTTACACAGAAAACAGAACTGAAAATCAAATTTTAATATAAGAGGGACAAAATATGTCTAATAAGGATTGTTAAAAAAAAAAAATGATCGTCCTAAGTCAATTTCTCTCGTTTTTACAGGACATTTCAAATGGGATAAAAACTGTCCCAAACCAGGCCGAGTGATACCGCCTTAACGTTTTAATAGTGCATTGTTGTTGTGACACTAATGTCTTCAGGTTGTTAATTTGTTGTTTCAGTAAAACGTTTGCACATGTTTTTGTTGTTAAATTTTCAAGTTTCTTTGTAATTTCAAAAACTTTATTAGACAATTCATCTTCTATATTCTGTTGAGGCTCTACCGAAGGTGCGTCACAAACTTCTGTGTGATGCGTTTCATTGCCTCTAAAGGTCACTACATTGGTAATCTAAAATAAATATATGTATTAATTGTTATATCATGCAGCATGTGAGTTTATTTAATACCCTTTCTTCATAAGTATAAGACATAGTTGGTACTGAATGTGGTCTTAAAACTACTTTCTGGGCTGATGTTCTATCAAAACACTTTTCTTCAAAATGAAATGAACACAGGAAAAAGTTGTTCACAGACACAGAATTTCCTAGGTGAAGATAAAGGAAGTCTGTCCACAGTTTCTTTAATTCAGGTTTCTGGGGACACCTAAAAGCAATTCAAAAATATTCATTAGTCCCTCTTAAGCAAATATTAAACGAAAAAATACGACACACCTGTGAAACGTAATTTTTTCTCTACCAATTGTTGACCTGGAGCCACTCGTAACTTTACACAATTTGCAACTAACCATTTTAAGTTTTTAAATAAACATGAAACGCTTATCGCAAATTCAAAACAAAACGTTCACACTAAACACGAGGTTAAAAGCGAAAATGACAAAAACAGAATCGTACGACACTGGTCAGTGCTGGCTGATGAAATTATTAAAGTAAGCATGTGCGGTGAAGGGCGCGCTAATTGAAAAGAGTAATAAAAGGTGCTTGCACTGGTGCCAAGAATTTACATTGCCGAGATACGGCGCACTCCCTCCATTATATTCCTTCCTCCATGCCTTCGACCATATACTAGCTAGACATGGCATGCGGCCAGTTGTAGGGTATGTCGTATGAAGCCAACATAACGGGAGGGGGGTGAGAGGAACTGACTGCCAGGGCGGCTCGTCTGTTGGGATCCAAAGGATAAAAATAAAACCGTGAGGTAAATTAATACAAAGTCACGTTGGGGAACTGTATTTTAATATAAATACTAATAGAAATATGTGAAACATAGTTATTATACATAAACAATGGAAGACAACAAACCTAATAACTACAAAATTTTATTAACCGACGAAAAGGAGGAGGTTCTCGATTTGATTTTGATGATTCTTTCTTTGTTGGATAGAGTAGACCTCGAACTTGGTCCCATTTAAATTTGAAAAAAAAATTCTACCCCTAAGGGTAAAAAAAAAATGCAGAATTTTTTTTTAGTTCAGAAGTTTAGTTAATAAGAATAAAAAGGTTTATTTTTCGCTTTTCAGTGTCTTATCGTCGGTTTAATTTTTTGTTAAAAAGTTTTTTTTGAAAAACTAAAATGACATAAAAGCGCAACTAATACATTACTGGTTTTTAAATAATATTGCCTTCGTAAACAAACTTCGAATTTTTGAATCAGAATTTCTTTCCTGAAGTCTTCTGGTTTCATGGTGAATTCTTATAGTGAAATAGCGTCTTAAAATTAACTTAACAAGATTAACAGAATGTGTATCCAGGGGATCGTCATTAGAATTATGAGAGTGGAATATGTCGTAAGTAGATTGCGGAATATTATTAAGAGTTGCATTGATCAATATTTGATGTAAATTACGAGCAATAAAAATATTTTTGTGTTTATGAATCATAAGTCGCAAGCATTTTTCTCCTATCTCACAAACTTTTATCACGAAAGGAGATGCGTTTATCATTCTTCCATACTGTTTACGTTTCTGAAGGAGCGATAAAGGTTCATCAGTTTCTAGCAACCCAAAACAAAAACCACAAGTTACACATCGCTTTAAACATTTCACTACGAATCCGGCTATATACGCCACAACATCGTTAACATAGCTAGTTAAATGCCATATTGGCGCACCTATGTAGTCATGGTCTTCAATTTCCTTTGAAATAGGCAGGAAGTCATCTCCGTGTTCTAAATTTTCATTGTTATCAGTATGTGTCAGTGTTTTGCAGGACACATGTAATATAGATGTGGCATCTAAAGCAACTGCATTCCCAGCATCTGCACCTTTAATTTCAGTATGCAGCAATAGTCTTTTGTAGATGTGTTCAAATTGTCGCGCTGTAGGATTATTACTTGAACCACCTCGACTACGCACAGCGCTGAAAAAGATCTCGAGATGATCTTGAGATAGCTTATAACTAAGAATATATTTTAAAAGAGGTATTTCTACTTCAATAAAATCTCTGTACATGTTAATAAGACTGTTTATACATATCAGGAAACCTAAAAAGCCTGTTTTTCTATGTGTCTGTAAAATTGGTACGTCTTTTAATCGAATCCCTATAATATATTCTTTGCAAAAATTTAAGTATTCAAAAACGAAATGGCAATTTTTAGGCGTTAATGGTTTTCGATATTGTGCAGTGGAGGCAAAATTACGTACATTTAATATATCAAATAAATTATTTATAACGCGACAAAAGTTTGCTGTAGCACTTACACCTCTAAAGCTGGATGCTGTATATCTTCTTCCAAAAAAATGAAAGCATCTGCGACACTGTTGCTAAATGTCTGCGCGGCTACTTTTACTTTCATTTTTTCGCGCGTCCAGTCAATGTGACGCTTTCGTATTTTCGTTGCAGCGTGAAGACCCTCCGTTGCTTGTAAATTGACCAATTTCTCGAAATATTCCCATAAAATGACACGTCCATCTTTGTCAATGAGTCGGCCTTGGCTTGCCAAACAATTTCTCAGTAATTTCAACATATGGCAAGCATCTAGGTACAGATAAATTTTCTGTTGCAATAATGGATGCATAAAGAATGTTTGCAAATTACTAGGATTATCCAATTTAGCTCCTAAAATTGTAGCCATATTTAAATTGGTTGCTGTGCCATCGAATGTCAAAGATGAAACTATAACTCCACTTTCAGTCAAAAACTCTAAAGCATTGTTCACCAACTGAGCTTTCTCTGTTGCAGTTAATGAATTGATCAAAAAGTAAGCAAACGGTAATTTCCAGTGGGCATTTAAGGCTACCAACATATACACAAGAGCTTCTTTTGCTTCTGGAAGTGAGTCCGATGCTATATTAGTGCCTAGGTCTACATATCCTGTGAATTTCTGGCCCGTCCATTCTGTTTGTTTTCGGATTGCCATCTCATCAAAAACAAAGTTACATATGAGTTTTTGTTGTTTTTTGTTTTGTTCTGCAACCTGGATTTTTAAAGCATTAATTGCTTCAGAAGTATACCCTGGTTCACCATTTACTGAAGAGTACCACTTGGCAATTGTGCGACGATGTGGCAAGCTGTTATTGAATTTAGTACGCACATACTCATATGCTTTACTTGAATAAAAATTCAAAGTGAGAGCAAACGCACGCAAATCTGATGAATATTTTTGGCGTTTTGGACCTTGCACAAAACGATTTAATATATTTGTTGATGACTCAGGTATTGTGGCCTAAAATTATTAACATTTCAATACATTTTCACAATTATCTATTATGAATGTAAACACTACCTTAACAGTTAACGACGTGTTTTCACTAATTAACTTCTGGGATTCGAAATGTTTCAATAATGATTTTAAATTTGATACTCTTGCTCTGAGGCGTCTTGTTCGTTGTTGAAATAATCTTAATTTGGCACGTTGAATCGTTATTGTCTTTTTGGCTATTTGCCAATTTCTTTTCGCTTTTCTAGGAGTTCTCATTTCATCAGTTGAACAATCACCTATATATCGTGCACGTTTTACCCTAGACAGTAAATGATAATTAGTGACAGTTGCAAGATAGAACAGACAATACTTACCTTTTCATTAAAGGTCTACTAGGGACATTAGTTTTTTTAACAGAGTCAAGTGATTCTGTGGTCGAACTTTTTATACTACCCTGTACTGAAGTTATTTTTCGTTTTCCCAACCTACACAAATCATTCGTACAAAATGAATATAAAACATGGCTGCATGTAACTCATGTATGATTTTGAATACCTGAACTTTGGTGGACCCATGGACTGACTCATACTTGCACCGGGTTGTCTAGTGATGACTGCTTCATCCACAGACTCTGTAGCTGTCAAAGTTTCCGAAGACCATGATAGTGGTTGAGCTAGTATTGACAAGTCTGCTTGTTGTGTTGTCAGCTGCTGAGTACTTTGCTCACATTCTTTAATTGTTTTTTGTGACGAACTGCTGGAACTTTATTTATTTGGTAATATTTTGTCACCAGTTCAATTTAATAATACACACTTTGCTTCTGTCGAGTCGCTTTCTGAAAGTCCACTTGTTGAAGGGATCTTCGAGGGCAGGGCATCTTTACTTAGTCTATGAATTCCCCCTGGCTGTATACAGGGTTAGTCACGAGAGAATTACTTCTGAAAATTATTTTTACGCAACCCAAAATACGAATACCATGTACCATTTGATACTAAATGAATTTAAAATGAAATGCTTAATCCATGATTGCTTTGAGTTTGGCAATCTCATTTTGACAATTGTGGAAAAGGAGGTTACGCGAGTGTCCATGGTGGTACCGCATCCAGTCGGAAATCTCCTCTGGCGCCGCTAATAAATTTGTCAGTGTGCCTCTTGATCTTTTGCAACCGATTAATCACGAGAAAATTATTTTTAAAAATTCCTCTTACGGCATTTTATTCAAAGGTTACAATACAAACTCAAACAAGTAAGTAAATAATTTAACTACTAATCTGTTGAAAATGTTGGGCATTTTGGACGGATGCTACGGCTTTTTTGTAAATGGATGGCCGAAGAAGTCCAGAGGTTGCAGATTTGCACTTCAAAGAGGGTCTAGGTGACGCAGAGATGGCGAATTAACACATGCACATTAGCGGGGAACAACATTGGTCGAGCACTTACGGCTTCAGTATAGCCCAGATTGATCTGACTGTATGTCGTCGATCCAATGGGGCTCTAGAGGCGAGTCAACGATGGAAAAAAAATGTTAAAAATTAATTAACGTCAAAGTAACACTGCCAAAGTCAAAGCAATCATGGATTAGGCATTTCATTTTAAATTTAGATAATATCAAGTGGTACAGGGTATTAGTATTTTGGGTTGCGTAAAAATAATTTTCAGAAGTAATTCTCTCGTGACTAACCCTGTATAAAAACTGGTCGCTGCAAAGTGGTTTGCACACAAGTAAATATTTCTTGTGTGAACGGGCTGCATTCCTATATTCTCAAACCATTTTTTTCTCCGTTCTGGATCACAGGGAAACCTAGTATAATTATTGTTTATTAAATACATCGTCCAACTGGTTTTGGTTATCTAATTAACACATTTTTGTTGTTCTAATTATCTCATTTTGTAGAATCTACACCACTGGCTTCCCAAACAAATACCACGTGGATGACACTGGTAAAACTTACCGATGATAGGAACATGTCGATGCTTTTTCGAAACTTCTTCGACACAAAAAACAAATTCTTCCCATTTCTCTTATTTTTTATCACTTTTATGTAAATAGTTCACTTTGTATCACGTTTTCAACTCGATCACTTCAGCTGTTGTTTTCAAGTGACGACCACCATATTGAAGACGGTAAGTCAACAACCAATCAGAGACGCAGTCCCGAAGGGCGATTTTCGCTTAATGTTTACCACCTCGTCTCGCGTCCCCAGTCATGTTGGCTTCACAACAAAGGTGCTCACACCATATCTAGATAATATATGATCGAAGGTCTATGCCCAACACCTTCTAGACATAAGGCCGGCGCACTAGTTTTGTGACGTCATGGTAATGGGTCCGCATCAAAATGTCAACGTTCTGTAAATTGTTACAAAAGGCAAGTAATCGTCATTAATAATGCAAATGTATTTTAGAAATCATTCGTTAGTCTGCATAATATCGTTGAAAGTGTGTTTGCACAAAAAAATGGATAAATAAAGACAATAACAACAGACATTACCTACAATGCCACCATTAAAAAAAGGGGTCATTATTGATATAAGATTGCTTTTAAAGATGGATTGTTGGCCTACATAGTTTTGTTTAAAGGCTAAGTAGAGTTTTTTACAAAAGTACAACATTACATAAATGCAAAAACCACAACAGCAACAACTTATGAATTCCCATGCTACCACATACGGGAACTACACTTCTGCATAACTAGGTATGTAATAAAATGTTTAAACAAGTACCAGTGTAGCAAAAAATTAAAAATAACAAACATAAACATTCACTCCCACAAGACATTGAAATATAATATTCAAACCTCAAAAAAATTTAAATTAAATATTCTAATCTTGAAAATTAACAATTACAAACAAAACCACAGTCTATTCAATTTTTTCTCTTTAGCTGGGCCATTGGGGTTTTAAAAAACTTGTCGTTGTGCTTTTTGCAATAATTTTTGAGCAAAATATTACAAATGGGACGTAAAATAAAATCCAGAATTTTGTCTGAAGAATGCTTGGAGCATTGATGGTCTTGGCCCATTTTTGCAATTGCCCCGGCAATTCGGTACACAACATTTCGTTGGCATTTCTGCAAAATATATAAAAATTAAAAGGGTTTTGCTAAAATGATCAAAAAAGTTAACACAAAACAATTCAAATTCAACATAACCTCAACTGTTAAACGTTTTAATTTTAATTATATTGCACTATAGGTACTAACCTATGGTTTTAAAATGACCTGCTAAGTACGTACTACAATCCACAGAACATCAAATATAATCTACAATCTGAAAAAACTACCAAAATTATTTTTGAGAATTCAGCAATAAAATTCAAAATACAATTTGTGGCGGTCCTGAATATTCCTGGACCCATCGTGGTGACGTCACACGCTGTCAATGAGTCTGTGCGAAGGCCTTGTCTCTAGAAGGTGTTGACCGAATCATGGCTGATTTAGATGTTTTGTTTACACCGTTGTCATGGAAACTACACGTCGTAGCCGCCCGATATGCGCCTGATTCAACTGGGTTGTGAGCCCCTTGCGATCGTGCTCTGGAGGAGTGAGTTACTATCGCGGGTTTTAATTTTCCTTCTGCGCGAACACGTATGATAAATATTCTTGGATAATCTTCTCGGTAATACAGACATTCGGAAACAACTACACATCGCTTATATTAATAATATTCGGGCACATAACGCAAGCGTCGACAAATATCGTTATATATTACGCCGTTTGATAATGTGCATATAATTTTGTGGAGTGTTTGAATTTGCTTTACGTGCATATGACGAAAGTAGGGAATCACAAAATCCAGGTATATTTCGAGGTCTGATTGATTTTATGGCTGAATTGGACTTTATCAGATCATTTGAAAGAAGCAACGGTTTTTAAAGGAATGCCTAAAACTGTCCAAAATGAACTTTTAGATACCATGAACACCGAAGGCAAAAAGGTATGTGGAGAAATCCTTTTTTATTTTTATTGAATGTATTTTTGTATTTATTTCCGTCACACAATTTCGTCTATTAATTGGTAATGACAACCTTGTCAGCAAAGTTTTACGAAAAAAAATGAAACCAAAACGCAAAATTTAGAAATTTATTCTTTGAACGCAACAATCGTGTATTTCAGATCAGACATCCCAACACAAGTCCATTTCTGTCCCTCCCGTCAGTGTTGCCAACGGTATAGCTTGGATACCCACTATCTGGTAGTATAAAAACCACCAGATTCCACTAAATGTCGCAACATCAAAAATTTACGCAAACAAAATAACTGTATTAAAGTTTTTTTATTTTTAAACAAAAATACAACAAAACCAATACGAAAAATTTAACGAAACTTAACATTCTTTGAATAAAAAAAAAATACATTCTTTAGTTTATAACAAAATATCATTTCTTTTAATAACAGCCGTTTGCACCGGTTCTAATCAAATAAGTCAGTTGCATTGTTTAATAAGTGTAAAAATTCATAGCTACTATCACAATGAGTTTTATACGCTGCGATTGTTCCAATTTTGCGAACTACGTCTACAGGAATTTCAAAATTGTAGCAACATTTTTCGAATCTATTGAGCCCAGACCCAATGGTTAGGATTGCGTCCAGTAGAGGCAGCTTCATTCTATTTCTTAATTTTGATTTGATGATATTCATTTGCGAAAACAATGGCTCGACTTCTGCATTTGAGTGGGGCAGTGTGAGCAACATCATTGAGTGAGTGGACAACTTATAATGCAACTAATCACGCGGGAAATTTGAAACAACTGTGAAGTTCTTCAGAAAATAAGTACCTAATTTTTTTTTTAATTCATTAAAATAAGAAAAAATACAGTTTCTTGTTGAAATAAATCCAAAGCTAAAAATCACCATAAACCACTGAAATAGTATCAAAGACTAAATCAAGTTTTTTTCGCGAAAGTGGCATGCGAAACCACCAGATTTAGTGGAAAATCCACTAAGTTGGCAACACTGCCTCCCTTCACCGTGTCGGTGTTGCTCGGACAGTCTCGACCGTTGGCGACCCGCCGCCTTCCGGGCTGGCGAGCTCACCCGACGGAAAATGCTGACAACCTGTTTTATATCTTCATATTTAACTCATCAAGCAAATTGTGTCCCCCCATTTCAAAAGGTCACCAGCCGCCACTGCTATTTATAGTCACCAACACCCCGGATAATGTCGGGTTTTTAATGGACACACTGTATCCCATTACAAAAATACCCCTAAACGTGGGACTTCTTACTCCGTAGATCATTTAGTTATTGGTACTCGTGCGAGTTAAATTGCATGTGTAGTTTGTTTTCTACATTTGGCCCAAGTAATAGTGTGGAAACCATAGGGCGAACACTAAATATTTTTTTGTGACACAAGGAAGAATTTGCACAACTTTTGAAGGTGAGGAACGTGATCAGGGGGTGCTGTAGAAGAGTTTTGTGCAAAATCGCGAAGTGTTTTTTGTAAAGGTTCACCGTTTTGGTATTAAATAATTTTGCTAAAATTGTAATCACGCGAAAGTTCAGTTTGTAAATTGTAAGGAATCGTCAAAACATTGTGCAGACGTGGTTTGTAACCAGTGCTTTTCTCTTGAAATACCACAACTAAAAGCCTTCATCTTTGTTCCTACAATAGGTGAAAACTGCCATGTCCAAGCATTACCATTAGCTTTGCAGTTTCTAGATATCTGAAATATGCCAGATCTGTATAACAGGAATGTCAAAGATATTCTACTCAAAACACGCCCACATGGCCATCAAAATTTTTCAAAATTTCCATAATAAAAAATATGAAACAATAAAGTTTCAGGAGCATAGTGTTAAAGATTTCTGTAGGTGAATATGAGATCTCGTGAAATAACAGAATGTTTAATACAGATTTTTAACCTTCCTAATGGTAAAGTTACAATTATTACTAAGCAGTAAGTTGAAGTAAGTTTTAAATTAAGAGAGAATGCAACTACCACAGAAAGAAAAGTGAAAGTTACTGATGATAAAAAACTTTACCACAGTACCTACATACACTTTTTCCATCCAATCTTGTTTGTTGATCACATACATTTACTTAGCACAAATGTAATGAAATGTAAAATACACATGTATGTATTTTATAGAAGATGTTGAAAATGTTGTCCATTTTCCCGCAAACACGTGG